TGGACCCCTGTGGTTCAAGAGCTCTTCAAGTCTTGCTCTCACAGTAGAGGGGGCTACAGGTGGGAAAGGAATGCTTGCATTCTTCTTTTATTAATCTCATGGAAATTTAGTTTTATAATCAAGACACCATTTTTAGCCTGCTGGCTCATTGATAAAGAATCCTAACAGTTCATAAATACTACAGAGGAAGAAAACACAAGGCATACTTTTCAATATTTGTGCCCTCAAGACAAAGATCAAGTGAAACACTTGTTCTGCTTTTATTATAAAAAGAATACGTATTCCCTATAGACATTTTAGGAAATGTAAAATGTGTCAAAGAGATAAGTGGATAAATGTTATCCACACACCAATGGCCCTCTGACACCTACTGATAAGTTTTTGGCACCAAAGAAAAAGTGGAATAACCAGTATTTTCTGAGACAATACTTCAGAGGCTGAAGAGAGATGAGATGACGCTGAGAGATGGCTGCTCAGTTTGTGTGGGAAGAAGAGAGGCAGAGAGAGATTAAATATGTTGTCAAAATCACTCAGCAAGTTGTCAAAGTCAAAATGAAGATGCTGGCCCTGAATTTTCCTGCATCTGCCAGAGACCAGTGTCTCCATGTCCCAAAGATTGTCCCCGCCCACCCCGCCAGTGCATAGATACTGCTGGTAATTGTGGCATTAATGTTTTTCTTCTTCCTAAAATAAGCAACAGTCTAGTCAAGTGCACCAGAAGAGCTGTAAGTTTGCATTTCCTGGTAGAAGCCTGGATATGCTCCATTAACCAGCATCCAAACAATTGTTCTGTCACTGAAGTTCATCTTCCTTAACAGAGACATTAGCACAACTACCAGGATCTCATCATAGAAGGTCTTAAGACCTTCTACCAAATACCACTGCTAAAAATCCCCTCAAGGTTCCAGCCATCGCATGCCTGCCCCAGAATAATCTACAGAACATTCTAGCTAATTTGTATGGAGATGTTAGCCTCTCCTGACAAGTACTAGCAAAGGGTCACTTACTTAAAAATCATGAAGCCAAAGAATGCCAGAGCTAGAAGGGTTGGTAGAAATGGTTCTTCTCCATCCTGTCATTTTTATAAATCAAGAGAGGTCCTGAATTATGAGTTCAAGACCAGCCTGGGCTGCCTAGTAAGGCTTGGACTGAGAAACCAAATTAAATACGGCTGGGGAAATAGTTCAGGAGTAGGACACAGAACTTGTCTAAGGCCCTGGGCTCCATCCACAAAATGCAAAAGAAAAAATAAGAAAAATTTTGAAGATATAAGTGACTATACCAGGTTAGGGGGTATACTCAGACCTACCTTGAACTAGCAAAATGACTTCTCCAATTTTGTATGTGGAACCATCATTCTGGTTACCTGGGGTCAACATGTCAGTCTTTGGTAATGTGTCCTTGCTTCTCACCTCCCTTATTAAATCATGCTTCAAATCCTGCAGTTTGCCCTTGAACTCTCTCTCTCACACCTATCCTATTTTCCCAATCCACCATCACCCTTCCATTCATACTTAGATGGAAGCAATGTTTCTTCTAGAGATGGTGGAGAACACACATGTGCACACACACACACACACACACACACACACACACACACACACTTCATGAGTAGGGATGTGAGGTGGAGGAGTGTGACATGATGGAGTCCTGGATCTTTGTCAACTCCATCTCAAGCTCTCTATCTCTGCACCTATAGCATGACTTTGAGAAGTTGGACAATCTGGGTCAAGACAGTTCTCTGCCTGCCCTGGAAGTTCTCCCTGCTTAGCAGAGTCTCCTAACCACAATTCAGAAAGTCCTTTGTGCAGTCTCTTCTCCTGGGCGAGGGAATCAAAGACCGTTTAATGGTCCTAGCATGTTTAACTTAGTTTTAGTTTACCTAGAGACAAGGAGACCACTGAGCTAAGAATGACAGTGTGCTTTTCCTCTTCATAGAGATGCTTGTGTACTTTGGTGTTAGATTTATAGAGAGTCTGTTTCCAAGATGCACTGACCTTCATTTAAAGCTGTCTGTTTACTCTTGGTGAGCAAACAGCTACAAAAGGTGATGATAGCACCCATTTCACAGAATTGTTCATGAAGATTAAATTGCACATTTGACTTTCTCTCCCTAGGGCCTTGTATATTTTCTGGCTCGTGGTTGCAAAATAATTATTTGTGAATTATTTTATTAGTATAATTTTCTACAAACGTCCTTAGAAGAGTCTCTTTATCAGAAAATGAACTGAGTTTTAGGAGAAGAATTTGTTTGAAAGATATTTTTCTATTAATGAAGATAGGGTCTATTTGCAAAGAGAAGTTGAAACCAGAAAAACATTTTGAATATTTTATGATAAGACTTGAGGAATGTTAACACATCTCCAGTTTCCACACTTGGATGTGTTCTTGGAATCGCCTTTTGAGTTCCATCTGAGATGATTGGAAGCTGATTTGACTTCCTTCCTGGAAGCTGTGGACCACTGGTGCTAGACACTTTCCATTGTTACTTAGCAGTAGTCTGTCTCCAGTATCCTGACATTTTAGAATCCACATCCTTTATCAGACATATTAGTGCACACTGAGAGCTTGAAGATTGCCAGGGCTTGCCATTTAATTATCAGAGGCTCACTTTATATTTCAGCTGGCCACAGACCCTACTAGGGAGGGTAGAGTCTATTTCTCTCCCAGGACCCATCACAGTGTCATGAATCTAAGCTGCTGATTGATAGGTCTAAAATTATGTTTTTCCCACACTGTTGAAAAATGTCATTTTAGAAAGGGAAGGTGTCGAGTAGCCTTCTCTAGAGATCTTTATAAATAGTGCAGGTTCTCACCTGATTGGGTGAAGGAAGTAAGGTCTTTAGAGGCATTGAAATGGGCTCTGGTTCCAAAACTGGAATGATTTGAACTTCAGTGTGAAAATATTGTGTTGGAAGTATGACAGAATATTCTGTGACAAGATATTCTATTCAGAAACAAAGGTGACAGCCAGAGCCATGGTACAGGTCCATGGGAAATGTCCTCCACCTCAGAGACCAGAGGAGAAGGAGAGCAGGCAATTATGGAGAGCAAGAGCTGAGGTCTTGGATAGAGGCTCAGGGCATTTTTTCAATGAACTGGTTTGAAAGAGAATAGATATATTAGTTTTCTATCACTGTCATTTCAATACTAAAATGTTACTGGCTCAAGGAAACATATATAAAAGTAAACATATATATAAATAAATATTTTTGTTTTGAGAATTTCATATAACATATTTTGATTATATTCACCCCCAATTCCTCCCAACATACATTTTTTTTATTGTGTTGATCTATTTTTTGTCGAAACAGGGAATTTATAAAGAACAAAAGTTTATTCCCTCACAGTTCTAGTGTCTGGGAATTTGAAGATCAAGGTGCTGACATCTGGTGAGGAGCTGAGGGGCTCTGACTGTCCTTACATGGTAGAAGGTAGAAAAGATCCTTGTTTTATAGTGGCATGACTCCATTCAGGAGGGTCAAGCCTGATGCTCGAACATCTCCCAAAAGTTGCATCTCCTAACACTGCTACACTGGGAATTAAATTTCTAACAAGAATTTTGGGGGACAGATGCAGACTATAGTACTTCTTTTATGATGTTGGAAACCTAGTAGGAGATCTTGGGGCGTAAAATCAATGTCTTCACTTGGATCTCCTTAGACGTCTGAGATATGAAAGCTCCAGCTTTGTGCCTTGAACCTGCTTCTCCTTCATTCTTCCCTCCTCAGTAAATCCCAGTTCTACTCTGGCAGTTGCCGAGGTCAAATACTTTAGAGTTATCCTCAAGTCTTTCTTTGGTTCAACTTTCAGTATTGGTTATTTCTCAACATCTCTCACCTGGATCCTGCTATAACTCTCTAACTGGCTTTATGCCCTTTTCAGTCTGCCCTCACATAACAGCCAGATGATCTACTGAAATGTAAGCCAGACCTAGCCCTCCTCTGCTCACCACAGACAGTTGTCTCATTCAGAGTAAAAGCCAGACATTGCGATGTCTGAGGGAACAGCCTGACTACCCTGGCCTCTGTGATTACCAATGTAGTGCTTTGTCACCACACATCAGTTTCCCATCTGCCCAGGGGTCATCCTGGGAAACAGAGTCAAGGTCAAATGAGCATGTGGGGCTCCTCTTCATCCTCTGCATGTACTTCTCTTTCATTCCCATGTGACAGTCATGCATCTGTGTGTAGGGCCTTTTCCTGTGATACTCAGAATACTGATAGAAACAGAATCCTCTAAGGGGTTCATGCTGTCCAACCCAGTGACAACCTTGAAGTCATTTTCTGACTCTGCTGCTTTTGTGTCCAGTTAGGCCAGAAAATGTAGCACCTAAAAACTGGTTGCTGAGGTTAGTGGAGGGTACTGATGTTGGTAAAAGGGAAGGGGGAGTCGGGTGGCTTCTACATTTTGTTAACCACATCGGTCTTCTCACAGCTCTCTACTCAGCAGGTCACACTCCTGAGGACTTTGTGCAGCTGCCAAGCACCCTTGCAGACAAGTGCTCTTTGTTGAGTCCAGTAGCTAGTGAGGAGATGCAGTTTGCCCACCAAGCTTTTTCTGTAAAGGATGGCCGTGTAGGGACGGAATGGAATCTATCCCATGCTCTCCTTTGCACTGTTTTTGATATTGAGCTGATTCAGTGTGTGGGTTTTGAATGGAACGAATATATTTTTTAAAAGTTAATGAATATGTCTGTAATCTTAGCACTCAGGAAGTTGTGGCAGTATTGTGAATTTGAGATTAGCCTTGGCTACACAGTGAGACCTTGACTCAAAAACAAAAGAAAAGCAAAAAGGGAAGTTAGTGAACACATCAGATGACAAATCAGTCACACACAAATAAGGCCTAGAATACACACATCTTAGTATTTCAATTCAATATGAGCAAAGTAAACAGAAAAGGAACAGAAATGGAACAGGAAAGGGTGGAGTTAAGGGACATTTTAGGGCTTCTGAGGTGACAGTGGGCTAATGTGTTGTTCTGCTTTTGTCTGATAGGTCATTGCTTGTGAGCAGCAGTATGACTCGTCCTATGACGCGCGTTGTGACGTTTGGTCCTTGGGCATCACAGCTATTGAGCTAGGGGATGGAGACCCTCCCCTTTTTGACATGCACCCTGTGAAAACGCTCTTTAAGATCCCAAGGTAAGACACCAGATGGCACTCTTGACTCATTAGTGCTTCATGAAAGCTCTTTTTGAGGGAAAATAGTTTGCATGTAATTTCTCTCCAGATTCGAGAAAGCCTAAATGCAAAATATGTTTCCTTTTTAAAAAGAAAAATGCGAGGTAGGCGGACACAAGAAGAGGATGTTTTGTATCATCTCTTACTGATGATTAAAGACCACACCCCCAAGGAATGATGGGACCATTTTCATTCAACACTTCAGTTTTCCTGAACTACTCATTTTGTGTGTGTGTGCTTTGTGTGAGAATGCAAGTGCAGTTTAGGACTAAGAAATCTGTCTAAACACTGATGTTTTTCTTTTCAAATATACGTTTTCTAGTATTTGGGGGACTTTCAAGTCCAAAAATGCTTATTTATAACTTTTTATCTATTCAAACCAGCACTGACTTCTATCTGAAAAATGCTGCATTATCCATTCACTTTACTTTCCATACCTAACTTCTAACCCAATAGGAAACCCTCTGAAGAGGCCTTTGGAGGATATTTAAATGCAAGTGTATTTGCAACTAAGGGTCTGTATGGAATGGTTGTCTTTCACTGGAATTGGGGTGATGTATAACCAGCTCAAGACTCTAGTAAGAAAAGTCAAGTAATAAGGGATCCATCCCAGTCAGGGTGCAGATTGATAGAGGGCATGTACTTGCAAAGGTCTCTTTTAAAGGAAGGGGGTGGGGGACTCTGTGCCATCCGGGAGCCATTTAACTGGCTAACAATGCAAGTGTTGACCTTTCCTTATCTGCACAATCACCCAATATCTGCAGGCTTTAAAAATTTCTCCTGATTGCAATTTGCATTTCTGATTAGGCCTATTTATATGCAGATGAGGCTCTCTGGCGTTCATCATCGTAATATTATCATTTTATACCTAATCCAGATGTGTACAAACCACCAACCAACATTCCATAAATGATTCCCACCCAAGTCAAACCTAGTCTTTTTGACTTTTCCAAACTACAAAAACAACTGATGGTGATCTTGGGAGTAGACGAAGCTCCTGGCTTTTTAATTTATAGTCTGGTGAGCATTCAAAGGGATGTAAGCACATGGGCACCAAAAGCAGCACTGTATACAGTAACATGTCCAGAAATGAGAAATGGGGTTTGGAATGATTTTTGTGTGGCTTCATATATTCCAAATGCTTGCTTACCATAGCAACTCTGTTGCCCAAATAGCAGCATTTCAGTGTGACTCCTGTTTTGTGAGATGTATGCACTTACAGTAAGAGATTATTTACTTGGGTATACTTACTCTTTATTTTTTAAAGTATGCATTTGTGTAAGATCAAGTATTCAAAAATCTAAGTTGATAGATGAGAGGCAGGTGTGTGTGTATGTGTGTGTGTGTGGTGTCTACATCCATGCAAATGTACATGCGTTTCAACAGATCTTTCATCTCTAGTAATAGCACTTAGCTTGCTTCTGCGTCCACAGCCTCTGATCTCTAATCATCTCTATCCTGGCACTCCTCTCACCTCTTGCATCTTGGGAGAAGGCTTCAGATCTATGCTAACCAACCCCCTGCTCCCATTTCCCTTACCCCCTCCCAACCCCTGCCCGTGAGGCAAAATGAGCTCAAACAACAAGGACAGCTAGAAAAAAAATTATCTTTACTCCAATCTAGGCTGGAGCTCTGTTCTTTCCTCTCAAACTTCCTGCCTTTCTCCTCTCTCCCATTCAGGTGATGGATCAGATGAAACTAGGGACTGTCAGCAATAATGGATCAGCAGATTCTCCGTGTGATTATTTGGTTCAACATTTGCTATCGTCACAACCCTAATGGGCTGGTTTGACATTCCTGGGCAGAAGGAAAGACGGTTAAAAGAAAGAAAGAAACAAACAAACAATAAAATACAGCCTATTTGTTAATATTATACAGCCGTCTTCTTCCTAAAGCTCTAGAAGAAATATGTGTGTCTTCCTAAACCCCTGGAAGAAATATGTGTGTTTATATTTACCAAGTTATTTCTTTTAAAAGTATCCTGTTAGAATTGCACAGTTCTCTTTGAAGGGCTATGGGTTGATCAGAGCTATATGTCCATGGATATGTGTGTGATCGCATATTGTGTGAGTGAGGTGTATACTAATTTTTTAAAATATTATTTATTTTTATTTTATGTGTATGAGTGTATTGCCTGCATGTGTGTAAATGCACCTGTGCATGCAATGTCTGCAGAGGTCAGAAGAGGGTGTTGGACTTCCCTGGAACTGGACTTACAGACAGTTGTTAGCCATCATGTGGGTGCTGGGAATTGAGCCTGGGGCCTCTGCAAGAACAGCCAGTGCTCTTAACCATCTCTCTAGTCCCAATGTATACTAATTTTGAGTGCTAAAAAATATATCCTTCTTTCAGAAAAGCTCTTTGATGGAGAATGAAGAAATCAAACATTTACATTTTTTCTATTCTTAAATTACACTTACTTGTTTATTGTATGTATGTGTGTGTTGTGTGTAGATGCATGCCATGGCATGTATGTGGACAGAGGACAACTTCCACCGTGAAGTCCCAGGGATCAAACTCAGGTCATCAAGCTTGTCATCAAGCACTTTTAACTCCCAAGCTATCTCACCAGCCCACATTTGCATATGTTAAAAAGTAACGTATGGGCTAGAGAAGTGGCTCAAGGGATAAGAGCACTTGCTGTTCTTCCAGTGAACCTGAGTTCAACTCCCAGCACCCACATGGCAGCTCAGGCTTTGTTGTCCTATGCTGGTGTCCACGGGAACTACAATTTTTTAAAAAGCCACCCAAATTGCTTACTTGTGTATTTCATGGGGATAGGTCTCCCTCCCTCTTCCTCTCCCTTTCCCTTCTCTCTGTCTCATAGTAATAGAGAAAATCAGATGACAATTAATGATAAAAATCCTTGACTTTATTTGGTTTCAGATTTATTTTAATGTATCTTCAGTATTCTGAAATTTTCTTCAAATAAACAATGAGGTTCATTTCATGATACTCTGGGATCCAGAGAACTGTGGCTTCTCCCAGGTCTCCCCACCAGCATCCTCCTCGCAATTCTTTTATTCCTGGAAGTGAACTGAGTAAATTCCCTATAGGGGAAGAAAAGCAAAGCTTGGCCAAGTCATGGAAGAAGTGACTTTCAGGAGTTACAAAAGACTTATCAGTTAACGGTGTGCTGGTTACCTATGAGGTGAGAGCCTCAAATGTCAATCCAGGCAGTACTTGCATAGGCTCCCTGGGCACTGTCAGGACTGGTGTAGCAGGACCTACCTGAATTTGGTTGATCTCATTACAGGCAGGTCTCCTCTCTGCCTCCACCCGCTTTCTCCTCTCTCTTGACCTTCACCTTGGAAGATGACACACAGAGAAATCGTGACCTGTCTTAGAAATACTGTGTGACTCAAAATCCTTCCCACGTTGCAAACACTCAGAAATTATCTGCTGATTGGCACCGCATCTTCTGTTTGCTGAACCTGTCAGCATGTGTCATCTTGTCTAACGTCTTTGCTCCAGAAAAAGTCACCCTCTGACTGCTGATGCTCTGTCTGTTGCTATTTTTCTCCAGGAGCTAGAAGAGAGGAAGGGAATGAAACCATTTCTCTGAGCATACACAGATTTCATGCTCATATGACCCTTTCCTGAGGATGTCATTACAATTCCAAAGGTTTAGGAGGATCTATCTATCTATCTATCTATCTATCTATCTATCTATCTATCTATCTGTAATTTTTTCTTCCATTTAAAAGGAGAGCTATTAAGCCGGGTGTGGTGGCACACACCTGTAGTCCCAGCACTTTGGGAGGCAGAGGCAGGTAGATCCCTGTGAGTTCAAGGCCAGCCTGGTCTACATAGTGAGTTCCAGGCCAGCTGGGGCTACAGGGAGACCCTGTTTCAAAAAGATGAGAAAAAAAAAAAAGAGCTGTTTCACAGATAGAATTCCAAGAGTCAGTAGAGTTAGGAGAAATGTACAATTATGCTGGTCTCTTGGTAACCAAATATCTTTCTTTAGCTCAGAGTCTTTAGTTAATTACCCCTTTTTCCACCACAGATGGGTTCAGAAGGTCAGTGGAGACCTGTGTGGCCGTGTTTACTAGACAAACCCTGAAAAGCCACATTGTCACTCATTTATTTGAGGCCCATGAATGCTGGCTTTGCTCAGCATCTCCTGGCATACCTCATGGTTCTACTTTATTCTTTGTAGAAAAAAAAAAAAAAATCAAGATTCCTAGTAGACATGATCTTAGTTGCAAGTGAACTGGCCCAGCTGGCCTGATCATTCCAGTCTCTGAAGTGAGGCCTGCGATTCCTCTTCCCAAGGAGAGCTCTCTCTGAGGTGTGCAGTTTAAGGAAAGGTACTTCATGTTTCTGTTCATTTCCATCACTAAATCTAGGTCATTCCATAATCATCTGTCCTCAACCATGTGAGCTTCCCTGAGCTGCCACAACAAATTACCACAAACTGGGTTGCTTTGCACAACTTCTTCTCGCAATGTCCTAGAGGCGACAAGTCTGAAGAGCACAGTGAACAGTAGTGCCATGCTCCTTCCAGAGCCTCCAGAAAAGGAGCTTCTGGTAGCTCTTAGCTATTCTGGGTTTTCTGTCTTCTGTCCTTTGTCACCCTTTGCCCTGTGTCTCCAAGTCTTCTTTACAGTCCCTTATAGGGACACAGGATTTAGGGCCAGTCCTAATCCAGAGCAAGAGCCTTGACTTGATTAGTTATATGTGCAAAGACCCTGATTCCAAATGAGGTCATATTCTCAAGCCACACTTCAACCCGCTACACCAACCAGCTTTCGTGTTTACCAAATTCCCCAAGCAACTAATTTGGAGGTAAAAATCCAGACCAGCTAGCTAAATGATGACCGAGAAAATAGTATCAGCTAAGTGCTGTAAGTGCTAGTTGTGTGGCATAGCACCCTGTGTTTTACCAACATGAACTTGATAGGAGTCCTTGCAGACCCTGGGAGGTTGATGATGTTGCCAGTCTTTTTCCAGGTTAG